GACTTCCGATGCGAGGGCGTGGCGGAAGCCCTGCCATGAGAGGGGGAATGATGAGGGGAGGACCAGCTCGTATCCCACCAGCCAGCGCCGTGGGCGGAAGTGGCGATGGTCCCTATCCCACCCCCATGGGACCACCACTACCTGGAGGCACAATGGGACCGCCCGGACCCGGACCCGGACCTGGAATTGCACCGGCACCAGGGATGGGGATGGGAGGGATGAGGGAGATATGAAGGGTATACACGAAAACAAAAGCTTAGCTTACGTACAGTCCCGTCTAATATTGTCTGATATGCGGACTGGGTATTGTGAAACAAATGGAATGATTTGATGATTATGAATCAACGAACAAAAGCCAGGACTGTTAATATCTTGTGCAGTTGCCGTTGCAGTTTGCCGAAGAATGGCCATTGAACCGTCTAAACTGGGAAGGTAAGCAAGAGGGATGGACAAAAATGAACAGGCCTGATGACTACTCCTGTACTCTGTGCTGTTACTTCCAATACCACAGTTCCACATGATCACTATTACTCTTTTACTGTCACTGGTACTGTCACGATTGGTGCTATCAGGAACGACGAATATCGTTTCGCGTGATGGCTACGAACCTTACGAGACCGAGCTTCGCACGAAACTGCAAGGCTACGAGGCTACGAGGCTATGCATGAGGCTATGTATGCGGCTATGCACGAGGCTACACACGAGGCTGAGCCGCCAAACCCATATACCATGTCAATGCCATTGGCGCCTACTTACTCACTTGTAAACTTGTACATATGTACGCCGTATAGTTTTTTTTTTTTTTTTTTTTTTTTTTTTTTTGTGCATTAGTTTCGTTTAGTTTAGTAATAGCATAGTCTGCATGCGGTGTATAGAAGTCGGGACATTGACCAGGCTGTAGGGCTGCGTTGCTTAGCACCGGACACGCACACTATATTCATTAGGTAGATACATATACGGATTTTGCAGACATCTATGTTGGGTTTAACTGATTCAGTGCTTGCTAATTACAGAATACAGAGTCACGTATGGCTCTGATTTCGCTTGCCTTATATCATGATCCTCCCATCCTGCGTCCTTCCACCAAATAATCCGAGGATGTTGGAGCCACTCCCACTCCCACTTCCTCTGCCGTCATTGTCGTTGCCGTCTCCTTCACCACTGCCTGGTCCGCCTAACCACTTTGGCCGCTTGAATCCGCCGCCACTTCCACCTCGACTCGGTGAAGCTTGCATCCACTTGGGTGTTTCGATGGTATCAATCGTGTTCTTCACCCTTCTACCGAACAACGTGAAGAAATTTTCCTCGACGGGCTCAGGTTCCAAAGCAGGTCGGTCTCTGAATCTGCCCGATGTTGGGTTGCGTGTCGTGTTTGACGAGGCGGTGCTGTTGCTACCAGCGCCTGCTCGATCAGCAGAAGGCACCCACCTAGTCGGTGCCGCACGAGGCCTGTCCAGGGACGTGCGCGGCGAATCCGTAATGCCCAACGTAGCGGTTGGTCGATTTCCCTGAAGGTCTCTCGCAATGAGATCCCGTCCTTCGCGCCAACCACCTGTCCCAAAACCGGACGGGTTCTCGTCCTCGGCTTCGTCGATTTCCAATATGCCAAAACCTAGTACATTCTTGATCTTGCCATACAGATTAAATAATGTCATGATCACTGGAAGAAGGATGAACATAGGAAACAGGTAGTCGAACCAAGTCCCCAACGGCGTGAGATTGATCAATCTGCCCAAGAAGCCATAGAACGTCGAATTCCGGTGAATATCCTTGGGCAAGAAAGTAAGGAAATTGTACGCTAGCGGTACCGTCAATTTTGCAATTTGTCCGGCGTACCAGCACGCGGATTCAGCGTAGGTGTTCCTCCTGACCAGGGCTCGCTGATTCCATGTAGGAACGTCGTTCATACTGCTCAGTGCGCAGATGCACATATATGTGATCCACATGGAGGCGACGAGTTGCCCGCCGAAGCCAATTTGATAGTTCTTGTCCCTCGGGTGGTGGATGACTGTAAGACTGACGGCCGAGAGATGCGGGGCGGGGAATTTGATAATTTCAGACCAGATGATGGCGATGGAGGCGAGGGAGAGGACGGCTCCAAGAGCTATTCTAACGACGGGAATGAGGTGGACGTATAGATGGTAGCAAATTGACGGGGTGATGATAGACCATTTGGGCGAGGGTGACGTGGAGCGGCCAAAGTCCAGTTTCCGAGAGGCCTTTGAGTCGAGGATAGCCTGCAGCTCTGAGGCGGTCTGGACAATGTTGTCCCATTCGCGGATATATCTAGCTCGTCGGTGCTTAGCTCGCACTAATCGTCGAGTCAAGTCCGCCAGGTATCGTTCGGTAATAACTGCGGGCACTTTGGCAGAGGCATCGATGGTGGTGACATTGGAAAAGACACGGCTCTCAGGCTGGCCAGTCATGTCGACCAATTCATCAATCCAATCTTGAAAATCTCGAGCACTACCGGTTTTCCTTTGCTTGAGTTGCATCACTTGGGCTTCCAATTCATCGAGCACCACGATCGCGTCCTCCAGCTTCTCATGAACTCTGGGCGCCTGACTCTGGACACGGCGCAGGCTACCACTTATATCCGCCTTTCGAAACATCCTCCTCGGAATGGACACTAGCCCATGGCCCATCAGGTAGATGGCGAGAGCCAGACCCCACACATAAGCGAGCGCCATGACCAAGGCCCTGATCGCGGTGAAATCAAAGCCATAGGAGAAGATCATGTAGATCAAACCGGCGATAGAGCAGACGAGAACAATCAACTGGTACCTGCCATTGGAACGTAGAGAATAGACCAGCCGGGATTTGGGATCACGATACCCGGCGTCCATGTATTCCCCCAGCAGAGGCAGGACGACCCATGTCAGGACAAAGGTCAGCCAGTAGACTATCCTCCACGAGACCAAAACAGCTCTTTTGGGGAACCATATCCCTTTGCCGCCATGATCGCTTTCTCGCGCACTCGACGCGAGATCGATGGGGACTAATACGAGGGCACTCGCAGGCAGGACCAGGGCCAGGAAGATTGGTACGAGGAGGAAAGCGGGAGTGGTTCGTAGAGGTAGATAGTGCCGTAGGAGGAACAGGACGGCGACTGAGATGGTTAAAAGAGCCAGGCATGCGAAGATGTCGGACCCCACCGAGGATGCCATTTCTTTCAAGTCTCGATGTAGAGATGGGTTTTGCTAATGACAAAGAGCGTTGATACCGGCCATTAATCGGGCCCTCATGTCGAAAAAGCCACCACCAAAATTGGAGGTTATCGCAGGGTGACGAAAGAGCCGCAGTGATGTTCTGGCCGTCAGCGGAGCGGTATGTCGAGGCTGTCGGTTTCTAGAATTGAAAATGCCTCAAACCAAGTAGAACGCGATAAGGGAGAAGAGTGCCGCAAGGGGGGAAATGATTATGCACAATGTGAGAAAGGGAAATGGTAGACTTGAATCAGACGAGTGACGTTGTAGCGTGTGGTCAGGATGGAGAGACGCAGTCGGGAGGCGGATGGAGGACAAGGAAAAGCACGGCTACGCTATAGCGGATTAAGTTTAGGGCGCATTAGGTAAAGCACACAAGGGGCCCAGAGCTTACCTGGTTATGGGTAGGGTGTTCTAAGTGTCAGTGGCAAAGGGTAAAGGGGGGGGAAGGAACCTGAGGGGAGGAGAGCGGCGGGCCCCAAGAGTAGAGGAGTTACAGGGGGGTAGGCCGAGCGAGTTAGCTGAAGGTCAGAGTGTTCTACTTGGTAGGTACAAGTAGGTAGGTGCGCTGGATGCCCTGGACTTACCAAGAAGCTGGAATAGCACGCTGACCAGCGTAGCGAATGTTGAAGAATGCACTCACCTCACCCAGTCAGTAAAGAACAGTAACAGTAGGCAGACAAGGGCAGACAAGGGCAGGTCATGGCCTTACTTATGATCCCTGCGCACCCTGGTCCCTTGAGCTACTCCTGCCCTGATTGAGTGGACTCGGGGGTGCCTGGGGAGACGCCCGGGGCCTCACTAGCCACTAAAGACAGTTGACAGACATCAAGTTTTGGCGACAGTAGCGAGTAGCGAATTCACTCGTCGTGCTAGTTTAGGTTTGGCGAAAAGTCATCCATCTAGCCTCCATCCTCCATCCTGCACTCTGGCTCCATCCATCCTCGTCACCTGCGACAGCGACATTTTCTCGCTCTCTGCTTTTCTTCCTCCACGATCCCCGTCACAGCTCCGTATGGCTCTCTAAATCACTCTACCGTGGGCACACCTCCCTCGCGACTATATTCTTCACTCTTTATATCTGTTGCTTGATTCTCACCCCTCTCCCCCCCGGTGGTCGGTCTCCCCGCGCTTTGTGCCTGGTTGACAAGGCTAAACAGCCACCGACAAGCCTCATCGCAAAGTGGGTTGGCCTGGATTCCTCCACGACGCGTGTGGTTGGCGCCCAATTACAAGTCACTCCTCGCCTCCCATCCAAAGTCCTCAGTCCTCACATAAGGCGCCGTTGCATAGTCTTGCTCGAGCTAGTGTCAGCCTCGATTGTTCCCGTATTCCTGTCCGACCAACGCATACATCCCACATCCCCAGACTCATCCTCTTCTCTCTACGCTCCCTCCATGACCTAAGAGCAGCAAAGTGCTCTAGCTTCTCTCCCTGACAGCATCGGCGGCCTCCTTGACCTCCTTCTGTGTGCCTTTCTCATTGTCAGCGCTGTGTCACCCTGATAGAAACCTCCAACCTCACCGCGAACCAGACTCGGCCCTCATTTCATTTTGCCTGTGTTACCACCTCCTCCCGTGACCAGGGCCTGACCAGAGCCTGCCTTGCCGATCTCCTCCTTCTCTGCCAACTCCCGCCATTGTCTTCCACGCAGTTCATCCCAAGATTTCAAGACAACTCCTCGTCTCCCCACGACTCGTTCTTTCGCAACACCTTGCTCCTCCCCTGTCCCGGATGCGTTGATCGGGATCCCTCAACCTGAGCGTCCCGTCGCTCGCCAACCCTGCCACAGCCATGAATCCGCAGCACTTTCAGAACATGGTGGGCGTGGGTCGAGGCATGCCCAATAATATGCAACAACAAATGGCCATGGCAAATCAGATGGGCGGGCAAATGGCGGCACAAATGGGACAGATGGGCCAAATGGGCCAAATGAACCCCAGGCCTGGGCAAATGGGTGCGGGAATGGCAAGACCTATGCCTCCGCAGATGGCGGGACAAATGAGCCTGAACCACCCCTCGGTTCAACAGCACATTTTCGACATGCTGAACTCTCAAGGGCCTTTCACCGGCTGGCAGGCCAACGTTCACATCCGCGAACGGGCCGGTCAAATCAAGCTACTCGTCGACTCTCTCCGTTTAGTCAGACCCCCGGTTGAGCTCCCTCGTGCAATCGAAGTCGCGCTGCAGTTCGAGCGCAAGTGCTTCACTCAATCTGCGAGCAGAGACGATTATATTCGGGAGTGCAGCGAGAAGCTGGGGAGGATCCGTGACCAACGCGCTCAACAGTTGAACCAGTCCGCCGGCGTTATGCAGGGTATGCAGGGCATGCAAATGCCCAACCAGAACTTTATGCCACAAATGCAGCCCAACCAGCAGATGCAAAACAACATACCCCTACCCCCACACTTGCAGCAGCTGCAACAGGGGTTACGAAGCTCGCCTATATTTAATCAACCCCAGCCGATGATGAACCAAGCAAGCCAATCCGTTCCCAACCAATCTATGGCGGCCATGATGCCCGGTAATGTCCAGCAGAAGCCGATTCAGCTTCCTGAGTTGACTCCGGAAGACAATAAGGCGATCAACCTGAGAGCGGCCGAGCTGGCAAAAAGCACCCCCAAGGAAGAGATGCGTAATATCGTTGAGAAGATGAACCCACAACTGCGTCAGAACTTAGCCCAGAAGGCCGTTGATCCTATCATTTACTATTTTCGTATGCTCGCAACCAAAGAGTTCCGACGACGAAAACAAATGGAGGCAGGAATGGGTGGGGCCGGAAATGTCGGCCAGACGAACAATACTGTCAACATGATGGGGCAGATGCAAAATCAGTCGACTCAGAACTCGATAGGTCAAGGGATGACTGCAAATGCCAACCCGCTTATGGGCGACATGGGCCGCTTCCAGGGCCAGCAGGCTGAAGGACTGAGGTCTCAAGAAGGAGGTGAATTGGTGGTTCCCGCCAGCAACGCGCCAGGCATGATGCCGGACCAGTTGCGTCTTCAGCAACAGATGATGGCTAACCAGCGCATGGGACAACAAAACCAGGCCAATAACCCGGCGTTTATTGCGCAGCAGCAGCGCATCCAACAAGCACAGGCTACCAAGATGCAGCAGGCCCAACTTCAGGCACAGAATCAGGCACAGGCGCAAGCTCGCGCTCAAGCTGCGGCTGCCCAGGCCCAGGCCCAGGCCCAAATGGCTGGCCAACGTCGAGACATTCAATCCATACCTCAGTCCAGTACCCCCTTATCTGCCATCAATCGGCCGGTTGGGCCTAATGTCTCCGGAGCTAGCCCGCAAACCGTCCCCCGTCCTGGGTCTGGAACCCCTATGATGAACCAGCAGATGCAGCAGATGAATGGCGCTATACAACAGGGCCAGCAGCAGCAGCAGCAGCAGCAGCTGAATATGCAAGAAATGCAAAAGCGCGAACAAGCACTGGCCAGCTTTCCAGTACCTCTCCAAGCAATTCTCCGCCAAAAGCCACAGAGTGAATGGCGTAATATCCTACAACAGTTTCAGCAGAGTGGTCAAATGAGGAGGAGCATTTCACAGCAGCCACAGGGGATGCAAGCGCAGCAGCAGCAACTGCAGCAACAGCAAGGGCCAATGGCCCAGATGCAGAATAATGCATTCGTTGGTGGCGCTAACATCGGTGCAATGCCTATGCAACAGTCGTTGTCAGCCGGAGCTGTTTCTCAGCAGGGTCAAGAAATGGCCGGTTTGCAGTCTGGTAACCAGGGACAAATGCAACATAACCAGCAGGAGATGATGAGACAACGCCAAATGCAGATGCAGCAACAGCAAAAGCAGCAGCAGCAGCAGCAACAACAGGGGCAGCCTCAGCAAGGACCTCCAAATGCCCAGGGGCAGCCACAAGGCCCTCGTCAACAGTTGACGGCTCCACAGATGAAGCTGATGGATCAGCAGCCAGTTCCCCCGACAGTCTTGAACAATATAAGACAGCATGCTCAGCTGCCCGAAATACGGACCTGGTATCAACTCAAGCAATGGCTGCTTTCCAATCAAGTTGCGAATTGGCCAATACCTCATGTATTGGACATCCAGGCGACACATTTCGCCCACATCATGAAAAATCGTGGTCAGAATCTGCTGCAGCAGCAGCAGCAGCAGCAGCAACAACAACAACAACAACAACAGCAGCAGCAGCAGCAGCAGCAGCAGCAAAAGCAACAACAAAATGCCATGGCGGGTCAGCCTCCAGGACAACCGACTCAGCAAGTGCCTCAGTCTTCGATGCCACCTGTCCCTGGCGCGGCTTCTGGTGCCTCTCCTGGACTAATGCCATTTCGGACTCTAACCGTGTACGATATTCAGAAAGTGCGGGCTGCAAATCCTCGCCTTGCGGGCATGCCGGACGAGCAAATCAGAGCTTTGCTCATCAACCGGCATCGCCAGGTGCAACAAAAGAACATGCAACAACAAGCAAACCAACAGGGCATTGCTGTGGCACACCCTTTAATGCCACTACAACCAGGCCAAGCAAACCCTCCGGGGCAGCAATTTGGTATCCAGGGACCTGCGCCAAATCAATCTCCGGCGCAGGCTCAACAGCAGGTTCGGCCGCCTTCGGCCCCAGCGCCGGGACAACCTCGTCCACCGCAGACCCCGGCGCACCCTGAGAACAAAACTCTAAAACGACCTAGCGATGACGAGGGGATGGAAATGCCAGTTCCAAACAAACAAACACAACCGCAAACGGACGGCAATAAGCCTCAAGGGTTTCAAGCTTTGACGAGGGAACAGTTCAATGCGTTGGATCCTGTAAAGAAACAGCAGTACATGAATTATAAGCTCCAGCACGCCGCGATGCGAAGAATCATGGAACTTACGAAGGAAGTTCAAGCTAGCATGCCGAAGCTGCGAGCCATCACCAACATGGATGTCAACGGGAAAAAGCGTATGACTGACCTCTTGACATCCGTTAATGTGAAGAATATGCTTGGCAGGTTCGACTCGTTTCTTTTGGCGTTCTATCGTATCGAGCCGAATGATGCAGCCATCAAGCAATTAGTACTTCAGAAGATACAGCTATTCTCACAGTACAAACCGCAGTCGTTGCAGAACAAATCTTTCGAACCGGCAGACGCCTTCAGTATTACTGCTGACAACGCAGAAGGGATCGTTAGCAATATTACTGCAAAGTTCCAGCAAACCGCCGCTCAAATACCAAACAACAAAGCGCGCCCACAGCCCGCACAGCTCACGCCGGAAAATCTCAGTTTGCTAGAAGCGCAGGAAAAAGAACGGAAACAATCTCTTAAGATCAACCAAGCTCCTCCTGCTCCCACATCCACACAACCACCGTTCCAAATTGGAGATCCAAGAGGGCAAGGTACGCCTAGGTACGCCACACCAGGACTCAAACAAGAGGACCTCAAGCTTCCCACCGATCCCAAGCGGCGAAAGAAGAACCAACAGCAACCTGCAAGTGCAACCACCGCCACACCTACTGTCGTGACCTCACCCCAGACGACCAAAACGCCCAAACCTGCCGAGATGTTCAAGTGTCCCGTCAATGGGTGCGAACACCAGCTCAAAGGATTTGCAACTCAAGCCGAGCTTGACCAACATCACAATGTGGCTCACAAGTTGGACATGGAACCTGTCACCGATCCTCTTGCTTTTCTTCATGACTCCCTGCGCTCTGCCTTCAACCTTGACGATAACCTCAAGCAGATCAAGAAGAACTTCCCAAAGCCTGAAGGCAAAGCAGCAGGTGTGAACAGCGTCAAGGGTGAAAGCTCCGCGAATACCCCTGTACCAATGTCGAAGATTCCCAGTCAAGGCCCTGCAGGCACGGCAACAAAAGATAGTGACGTCAACATGGATGACGATGACCCGTGGAAACACAGTAACATCACATTGGATCAACTTCGTGTTGCCTTTGGTGGCGATGATTGGGACGAGCTCTTTCCGTCCGAGGAAAAGCTGTTTGAGCAACAGTCCAAGTTCTATGAGGCCTACCGTAACACCAGCGAACGGTGGCAGAAAATCGTCGAGGGCCCACATGGAGCTTTGACTGATACATCGACCGAAAAGTCCAAGAGTCCAGAAATTGCCAGTGACAAGGAAGGTTCTGCTGCGACCGCGTCGCGTGAGGACAAGAAAGAATCAGCGAAGAAGGCGGATGACGATCAGTGGAAGGTCAACCTTGATGGAATTGAGGGCCTTGATCTCAGCGGTTTTGGAGACATGTCCCCATTTGAAAATATCGGTGACCTGGACGTCGTCATGGGCGAGGACGGTTCCCCGTTCGAGCAGGTCGAAAAACCACAGTTATCGACCGAACAGAGACATCTCCAAGCTCTAGGAGTCGACCTTGAGCATCCAGAGAATTGGACTAAACAAGAGAGGGCGCTAGCGGAATTTCTGTTGGATATGTGAGCCGAGCAAGGTATCTCGTTGAAACCCATTATCTATATCGTATCTTGCTTTTTGTGTATTCTGGTATTTTTGGGCGGCGGAATGGTGGGGACGAAACGTCAAACTTGCGACTTCTTTATCAGCATGGCGTCCTGTGGGTCAACGGATCCTAATGGGGAGGCCTGAATGGCTCGATGTGTTACGACTCTGACGAAGCTGGCAGGGAAAGCACACTGCCCTTCTTGAATTGCGAGAGGGAAGAGTGAATGGGAGGATGTTTATCTTGGAATTGATCTTTCAACACGGGAGCGGGTTTGTACATTATGAGATCGACGCCGGAGATTGACTTGCTGTCTTTTCAGATACCTCGGGATCAATCAGCATGAGTTTGTTTTGAATCATGCTTGATGGAATGAAGGATTGGGATGGTATGGATTTGGATGACAAAAGAAATACCCGGGTGCAGATTGCAGCCCTCTAAATAAATCTTGGACTTTTTTCGAAGTACCATATTTTCAGGTACCATTCTTATGGGGGAGTGTGAAATATAGAGTTTCCACAATCCATGAGAGAATCTCTTGTTCAGCAGAGTAAATGCTCGATCGTCGGTAGAGGAAGTCGAGTTAATACATACCGGGCAAAGCACTTAATATTAAGTGAGCTGTGAAAGAGAAGGGAGCAAGGACGAAGAGCACATCCTGTACGAACAGACGAATAAGACGCACTTTAATATACGGAGCACTCCGTATCCAGCCAAGACTTTGCTTGTTGTTGTCCTTGTTCTGCAACTAGGCTGGTCTTGCCTGGTCTTATCCTCGATTCGTTGGTCTGAATCTCGCTGCCTAGGAGGATAAAGAGATGATCAAAATAAACATCAGACGAGGATAGGCTTCGGTCGATTTGGATGCTAAGAACCAATATCGCTCATATATTAGTAGAGCAGTAGTCGATCATTCAACCGATCAACCAACCAACTAAAAAAAGCTAGCGCGTTAATCCTCGTTACCGTCGTCGTCAGCCTCTTCCTGGTTATCATAGACATCATCGGCACTTGGATCCCGTCCGGTAAAGCGGGCTCCATTCTCTCCTTCAACGTAGTCGATACCGCGTTCTCGTAGCTCCAGGATCTTGCTCCGGCCGACGCTCACAGACTCGAAGCCTGGGGGCAAGCGACGACCCGCCCTGTTCGTGAAGGGATTAGTTTGCATGCAAACTACTTGGGGCAATCATTGCAAAGAAAGCGGGAGGATGGATGGAAGGGGTAAACAAGCAAACTTACTTGAGGAAATCCAGCTTGATATTCCGCGCCTTATCCTTCAGTTGCACCTGGGTCCTCCCTTGCAACAGCGGCCCGTCTTCGTGGGCACTGTCTTCTTCTAGGATCCTCGCCCACCTCGTCCCGTATAACTCAATCATCTCCATCAATCTTGTGGTCTCCTGTTCGGTATAAGGTCTGCGAATTTGCACGCTTCCTCGAGTGGGCAGTAAATCGCGGGTCATGCGCACCCTTGCTTTGGCTTCCCGATTCACATCGGCAATTTGGGAGCGAGGTGGTTCCAGTGACGGTACTCTGGACGATCTGAGGCTCTCTGGATGGGTCCGGGTGGGTGCGGTGGAAGGAGGTTGGTGCCGTTCAGCTGCTGGGATAGGTCGAAGAGGTGCTCGACTTGCTGGTGATCTCTGGGTACCGGATCTTGCCGGCTGTGATAATGAGACCGGCAACGTGCGTGGGGGGCGTTCTGGCGACTTTGAAGGTGCTGCTCTGGCCAGTCCTGACGGCTGACCTCGACTTGGAGATTCAACCGTCCGGGATCTGTCAGAGAGACGAGCAAGCTCACTATCGATTGGTGTGGCATCCTCCTCTACGGATGACAACCTCGGGCGAGTCGACGCTAGTGGCTGCTGGCCGGTCTCACGACTAGGACGACGTCTCTTTCTGGCTCTGCCATCCGTCTCAAACTCGCCATGGTCATCATCATCTTCCACCCTTCGGGGCCGTGGACGCTTCGGAAGCGGCCGGGGCGGAGGGGGAGTATCTTCGTCATCAGCGGGTTCGCCCCATTCCACCCTTTCTGCCCCATTTTGCCAGTCGAGCAATGATGCCTTCTTCGCTGTCCGTTTCTTATTTTCCTTGTCGCTCTGCTCGATCTGTCGGCGGACCGTCTCTAAAACCATGTTTGTTTGCTGGGTCGGGACGACCTCCTCGTTGGGTGCACGAGCTTGAGCAAGACTTTGTGCCTGGTCATCATCTCCACCTACAGCTGTTTCTCGAGTTTCCCCTATAACTGGTGATAGTGACTGTGAGATCTCAAGCTCTGGTTCGGGCGGACCGCGGTCAACATGACTAATTTTGGCACCGGATGCGCGAACCGAATGTTCAGCTTTGAGAGCTTTAAGTCTGTTAATGTTGGCTTTCATGGCTTTCCCCAACAAACCCCCGGCCGCCACCCTCTGCGTCAGTTGTGTAGGTCTGATATTGGCATCCTCAAGCTCCTCGGCTTTAATATCGACTGGGCCTGGTTCCTGCGCTTTAGTTCCGGGAGCCGCTGGCTCCGATCCCTGAGAAAACCTGTCAGATAGAGCTGCATCATTCCGAAAATCTTCGGCATAAAGCAAATCGATGAGCTTGTCCATGCCTCCTCTCGACCTGATCATTTCTTCTAGCTCATTTTTGCGAGCCACGCTCCACTTGACCACCTGTACAACAAAATTGGACCAAGGAAATTGCTGTTCCAGTGCCTCGATATTGATCCACGGATGTTTCTCCGTATTGAAGTGGGATTTAATGGAGGACATTCGTGCCATTGCTTTCGAGTGGGTCACTTTGTCCGATGATCCCTTGATCTTATTGCTTTCGTCGCAAAAGACAGCTCCAAGCAATTCATCGGGATCAAATTTCTCATCGTGGTGCTTGATCGCGACTTCTCTGATGTAGAATTGCGTTAGAATTTCAGTGTGGATGTCGAATGTGTCTTTGACCGTGGCAGGCAGAAAAGGGAATGAAGTGAGATCATAAAACGGCTCGGGGAAGTTTTTGAACATAAAATCAAGGTAAGAGTGACGTTCTTCTGACGAGGGGCTGAATACCCTGACCAGCTGCAAGGCTAGATTAGCCAAGTAGAGGACACCATCAGGGCGCCATAGGCCGCTGTTGATCTCTCGCAGTCCAGCATCACCAAGGATTTTGCGAACGATGAGTCCTGGAAAGATAAAATCTGGGCCACCTCCGTATGCTTCCTTAGTGGTGAGGAACCGGTTCTTCCGAGACAGGAATCTTCGGTGCCGCGAAGGATCGATTTGCAGCAGCTTCGAACAGATGTCCGCTAACCTTGTTTCATCAGCCCCAAAGATTGAGAATAGTTCGATTGAATTATTGCGTAAATCAATCAAATTCTCGATGATAGCATCTCGGTCCAGGGCATCCAATAGATTCTCAAAGGATGATACCGTAGAAGTCGTCTCAAATGAGGCAGAAATACTGCCGTCAAGGCTCTCGATTTGCTCCGATACCGGTTCCACTTCAGTGACAGTAGGCAAAACCTGGTTAAGGTCTTGTAGTAGTTGTTGCGCTGCCGTGGCTTCTCGACTGGATGAGCGCGTTCGACTTTTGTTTTGATCGGATGGCGCGTCGATGACGACACTAATCGAAGCGGCTTTTGGAGGAGAAAGAGGCGTATCCTTTCTGCTACTTGATCGTAGTCGAGGACGAGGGGCCATAATAGGTCGATGTGAGGACGCGTGAAGGGCGAAGGGTGAAGGATGATCATGTACTGAGAGCTGGTCTTAGGGTTAGTAACCCTAGACGGGTGGCGTTGATGAATTAAAGCTGCAGTAGCGCCGAGCAAGGGAACATGAACGCAGCCTTGGCTTGGCATCGGCTAAGTTGACTATTACAGAACACTAGAGCCTTGCGGAGTGCCGAATGCTAGGCGACTCCAGCACGAGTGGCAATGTATCTATGTCTTGCCTTGTATACACGTAGCAGTTCGCCAGGGGACACGTAAACAAATAAGGATAAACACACAACATTATCAGCCTAACTAATCAAGCCACTCATGATGCTCAATGTATCTATGTGCGCATAAATGCCACAATGATGAAAAATATATGCCCCTTGAGCTGATGTTGATCCAGCCGTCAACCCTTCGCAGCTCCAACAATCACACCATCTAGTCATGTCTCTGCAGCATTCATTGCCGCAATCCATTAGCCTGACGATATGGGTTGAGCGGAAGCCCTGAGCGCTGGGCCTGCAGCTCCTCCAAAGGACACCTAGCCCCCGTCGATCTTGCCCATCTCTCCGCAATGTCTTAGCGAGGGATTGCGGGGGATATCAGGTTCCACCTATCGAGACTCAGACTTGGCCACCCCTACTGTACACTAAAAGGGCACAAGTTCTGGAATCTCCAGTTGGTGGGCTGTGCCTTGGGGTCTCGCCGATCTGCCAACCGTGCTCCAGTCATCGTTAATGATCATGTCCTCCATATTTCTATTGTTGGACCTAAGTCAGCACGACTCAATCTTAAACGAATTCTTCCTCGATATTTACATATCATCTGGCACACCTGCGTCGTTTCGTTTCATTAATCGACTGAACTGAGATATTCAGCTAGTAGCAGTCCTCTGTGCACGATGTCTCGCCGCGAATCCGTTGGGCGCCTCAGGGTGGCATCACAGTCCGACTCCGCGCCACCAAGTGTGAAAATGGTATCTTGTGCCGTTCTACCTCCACGCCTCCCAGCAGGCAGAGCTCCACCCACCGGCATTGGCGCGTCAGAAGCCTTCAGCTTCGATGAAGCCCTCAATTGGGAGCACAACAACTCCGCGCACGAAGAGGAGCCTAGCCGGCGAAGGAGCTTCTTTCGTAAAGTTGGTCTCACCACACAATGCAAAAGATCCGACCCAGAAGATGACCTGCCGCCTTTCGTAATGCGTCAAATTCCCTACCATACCTGGCGAAAGCATTATGCAAAGGACAAGGACGGCAACTACAGAGGCACCCATGCTCCGGCAGAAGATTG